TTAGGTTACCATCATTAGGTTTCTTTACAAACTCCACATTCAAACTTTCAAATCTCTTGCACGCCTTGTTTACATCATGAACGGTAATACCTATGTGCCCTGAAAGCATTATGAGACATGTTAACCATTCAAATATCGTATAAGCTCAACTATCTCCTAGAAAGTAAAATGCATTTTACAGGGAAATCATTATAATTGGTTCCAGAATCGTATGAAAAAAAGAAGTAAAGAGAAACTAAAGAGATTTATTGCCCTTGATGTGTAATTATCCAACAAAAACAAAGCTGTAGAACTCAATAGCATTGCATATTGTATATTGAGATTTATTGGGAACAAAGAAACTAACATATGACTTTTACTTTAAAATCAAGGTGGTTTGAATAATGAGAAATTTTCACATCAGGAAAATATAATCCCTATTTATTGATAAAGCTGGTCAATGATACATATATGTTATTCATTCCTACAATCCATCAATTTAAAAATTATTACACAAGCATAAGAAACTGATATAAAAAACTATCGTAAAAACGGTTTAATTTTTTTGGAGCAGGTGGCTACGTTCTAAAACATAGTTAGGCAACCAATTTCTTATGAAGAAATTTGCAAAAGACACAGCATGGCACTGCCGTAAAAATGGAAAGAATATATAAAACTGAATGACAGAGTCAATAAACTTGATCTAGGTGACACGGAAGTTTATAAAGTCGCAATTAAGCATTGATTCTGTTTTCAACCACAACATTTAAGAAGACTATAATGCAAGCAGCAACACAACTTTCATCTCACGAAATGCAAAACCAGACAGCTCATGACATCTAACATTCAACATTATAATAATTTCATGTTATAAATAAAGTTCCATTAGCAGGGCACAAAGGGTGTGCACAACATTTAGAAAATTAGATATTTCATCACAGTTATCCCAAGTAAATAGGTATAAGAAAAGATACAAAAACACTAGATTTGCAAACCTCAGAAGCTATTTTACAAAAATAGGTGCTCAAGTTTTTTCTTAAAAAAATAAGTGGGGAAAAATATAAGAAAGAAGCATGTTTAACTAACCATATCCCAGAGGTTCTGAGTTCCCAGTATGGTAACCCCTAAAATCGGGATCATTCTCAGTACCCCATTCACTGTGACAAAAATCTAATAGTTATCATGAAAGAACCACATGGATGTGATTTTATTATTTTTTCTGCCCCTAAAAATAGAAGCTCTTACTGTGCAAGCTCAAGGACAGCTTTCTGACCAAAAGTCCAATTAGTGCGCTCAATGGGATCATTTGGAGCTGAAGAAGTGTCCTGCACAACCCATACGTAGAAGGATTTAAAGAAACTCAATCTCTCAATATCCTAATTTTCCACACCGTTTTCGAGTATAACGAACATATATGCGTACGCACTCTGAACATATAAATGCTCATAAATTAAAGCCTAGAATTATGTTTGATGTTTTACCTCATATCCCAAAAGGTATATAGTAAGCTTGTAATCTGACAAATCCAACCTCTTAAGCAACCTATGTTCCAGAAGGATATAATCATAAAAACTTAGTTCCACCTACACGAGCAATAGCATCAACAGATTTATTGTGTATCTAACATGACAGTTGATCTGCATGTAAAGTTTAAGTATAAATAACTTGTTTATAAATAAGATTTTCAAATCATACAAATCAAATAGAACTTTGGCACATATGCGTGGTTGTTATGGTGAAGGGGTGCAGTTGATACATGAAATCCTGAAATGGGGTTCAATCTAACAGCTTATCGAAACACATAGTTCAACGTCGTTATCTCATATTCCCCACCATTTGCACTAAAAGGTCAAGACTGCGAGAACTTCGGACATTTTAGTCTTCTGGATAAATACTTAACAGAAGTGAAAATCTATTGGAATTATAAATACTATTGAATAAGACATATGAAACCAAAGTCTCAATTTCATACCACTTCCAATGTCATAGTCTATTATATATGCAGCGAAGTTACAAGGTAGTTAAAGAATTCAAAAAACAAATCATATTGTATTGGCATAAACATGAAATCATAATTTTAGGAAAAAACAAAAAATAACTATAAACGACATAATTGTTACAAATTATAATTGTTACAAATTAGTGCAACTTACTGCTGCCATTTCTAATGTTGAATGAGTCAATTGTTTTTCAATAATTTTAGGAGTCAGTTATAGTGGAATTTGTCTTTTGTTTGGTAAATAAGTTTAGGAACACGTTCAATTTCAGTTTGATTAGTTGAGAAATTTTGGGAGAATTTCTCACTATAAATAGCTCTTGTAAGCTACTGCAATGAGCAGCCAGCACGTTCAGTTCCTTTCATTCTCTTTTTTTTTTTGTCTTTGTCGTCAAGTAATAAAACTCAGTTGAATTATCAAACTTGTTGGTCTCCTGCTCCACTATTTTCCTCTGTTCTTTTTTTATTTTTCAACTTCTCTGGTATTATTATATTTCTTTCATAATTTGTTTCATGGTATCAGAGCTCGGTTACCTATCAAGTGTTTGATTTTATTGTTCAGAGAAGATGAACGATGGAAGCAATGTCTCTGTAGACAAACTTGTTGGTAACAATTATAGTTACTGGAAGCTATGCATGGAAGCTTATCTACGAGGGCAGGATTTGTGGGAACTTATTTCTGGGGATGATGTAATTCCAGAAGATATGCCACAGGATGTCGAGTTGAGGAGGAAATGGAAGATAAAGTGTGGCAAAGCTTTATTTGCTTTTCGAACATCGATCAGTAAAGAGTACATCGAGCATGTTCGTGATGTGTTATTTTCGAGTTTTTGGTTCAGTTTGTTATGTCCATATACTAAAAAAATGATCGGCCAAAACTTGATCCAAGAGCAAGGCGTTGTATTTTTGTTGGTTATGATACTCATAGGAAATGATGGAGATGTATGGATCCAGAAACAAAGAACGTTATCATTTCTCGTGATATAGTGTTCGATGAAGTGTCATCACATCAAGTTGATGACAAGGACAGTAGCACAATTGATGTTGGCCCTTTTTTTAGTGAGGTTGCGACAGGTGAAAGGGGGAGCAATACTATTCCATCTGAAGAAAATATTCAGCAAGACGAGACAGTTGGGACTGCAATTCAAAGGTCTTCTAGACAAAGAAAGCAACCTAATCATCTAGCTGATTATGAAGTTCAGTTAAATCAATGCTCTGTTTTGTCATTTTTTTATGGGAGATTCATGTGAAAATGAGCTGATGTCTTACAATGAAGCTCAAGGTGATTCTAAATGGGAAGAGGCAATGCAGGAGGAGATGTTAGCTTTGTACAAGAACGGCACTTGGGAGCTCGTTCCAAAGCCAAAGAACGCTGATCTGGTTACTTGTAAATGGGTTTACAAGTTGAAGAAGAAAGCTGATGGAACTATTAATAGGTATAAAGCCCATCTTGTTGCTCATGGTTTCTCTTAACAATATGGACTAGACTACTAGGAGACTTTCAGCCCTGTTACTAGAATGGTGACTGTTCGAACAATTATTTCGTTGGCTGCTTACAAAGGTTGGAAATTATGGCAACTAGACGTGAAGAATGCATTCCTATATGGAGAGCTAGATTGTGATATCTTTATGGAGAAGCCACAAGGATTTATCTCTAAGGAATTTCCTAATCATGTGTGCCAGCTCAAGAAGGCCTTGTATGGCCTCAAGCAAGCTCCACGTGCTTGGTATGGTAAGATTGCTCAATATCATGATTTTTGTGGGTTTAAGTCTTCTAATGCAGATCCAAACTTATTTATTAGAAGAACATCTGCAATGTGCATCACATTGCTTCTTTATGTGGGTGATATGATCATCACTGGATATAACAATGTTGAAATAACCCGTCTTCAAGATGCCTTGTCAACTCGTTTTGAAATGAAGAGTTTGGGTGAAGCTAGCTGTTTTCTTGGCTTGGAAACTGAAAAATCAGATGGTTATTTTGTCTCTCAAAAAGGATATGCAACAAGATTACTAACTCGTTTTTTGTATGGGCGAGTCCAAAGAAATTACCACTCCAATGGAACCTTGCCTGAAGTTATCTAAAAATGAAGGAAAGCCACTCGAAGATGCAACACATTTTCGACAAATTGTTGGTAGTTTATTTTATTTAAGTGTCACAAGACCTGATATTGTATATTCTGTTGGAGTCATTTCACAGTTTATGGACAATCCATGTGAAGGTCATTGAATTGCAACAAAGAGAATTCTTCGTTATGTAAAAGGTATGCTAAGTTATGGATTGATGTTCAATCAGCATATGTCATTTTCCTTGAGTGGTTTTGTAGATGCAGATTGGGCTGACGATGTGAATGGCAGACGCTCCACAACAAGTTTTTGTTTTACTACAGGTTCAGCTGCAATTTCATGGTGTAATAAAAAACAAACTACTGTAGCTCTTTCAAGCTGTGAAAGGAATATATAGCAGCTACTATGGCAACTCAGTGTCTTTGGCTTAAAAGTCTCATTCAAGAAACGGCTTCTAACTTCAACTACTCAGTTCCCATTTATTGTGTTAATGAAAGTGTAATAAAGCTTGCTGGAAATCCAGTGTTTCATGCACGTACAAAACACATTGAAACTCATTTCCATTTTGTTCGAGAGAAGGTATTAACTCAAGACATTGAGCTGCAGAAGATACGAACTGAAGACCAAGTGGCAGATATCTTTACTAAAGCACTTGCCAAAGCTAAATTCGAAATATTTCGCAGAGCCCTTGGTGTAATTGAGAGTAAGTTTGCACTAAGGGGGAGTGTTACAAATTAGTGCAACTTACTGCTGCCATTTCTAATGTTGAATGAATCGATTGTTTTTCAATAATTTTAGGAGTCAGTTATAGTAGAATTGGTCTCTTGTTTGGTAAATAAGTTTAGGAACAAGTTCAATTTCAGCTTGATTAGTTGAGAAATTTTGGGAGAATTTCTCACTATAAATAGCTCTTGTAAGCTACTGCAATGAGCAGCCAGCACGTTCAGTTTCTTTCATTCTCTGTTTTTTTTTTCGAGTCTTTTTCATCAAGTAATAAAACTCAGTTGAAATATCAAACTTGTTGGTCTCCTGCTCCTCTATTTTCCTCTGTTCTTTTTTTGTTTTTCAGCTTCTCTGGTATTATTAAATTTCTTCATAATTTGTTTCAATATAATAATAATAATAAAAATCACAGATTGGATAATAAGGCAGCTTGTAATTGTTACCGAAATTGAGAAGACTTACGACATGCCCATTACTCGAGAGTAGAAGTCGAGACTGACTTTGGGGTCCTTCACTCGAAAATTCTGAACACAACAAAATGTGGGTTCCAATTATAAACAACAACAAAAATAACAATCCTAATAATGGAGGTCACTGAAGAGCTTACTGTTTGTTGCAAGAAAAAACCTCTGGTCTCCTCATCAGGACTAGTGTGGAGGCCTGGGTTGTTGGAGGCTGACTCTTTGGATGCCATTGATATACCTCAAAATCTGCCAACAAAAAAAAGGACGTTTGAGAATCAAAATCGATACATATGAAAATGGGTATGAGAAAACATGAAAGTAAACGCATTTGAACAAGAATCAGGCGATAGATGAAAGGCCAAAGGGTGCATAGTTTTTCCACCTTTGATTTGATAGTCACAAGCGTAGGGAGTTAAGACAACAGGGAGGAGGCTTTGCGAGTATAATAAATAACATGGAACAGGAGGGAAAGTTCAAAGTATCAGTCAGCAATGAGAAGGAAGATGAATTTTGACCCAGAAACTAATGTAATGACAAAAAGAAAAGGTGTTTCACTTTGACTGGACATTGAATGAATTAGTATTAGAATGGTATTGGTGCTACGACACCAAACGGATAACTTCAATCAATTCCCCTTTCTCATTTTTCATCCATAAAAATGAAAAATATAATGATTATTCATCACATGAAATTATCAATTTCAAATTTCTATCTCTTATATGGGATCCGATAACGACTATATTTTTCATTCTCATTATACAATAATGAGAATCAAACGGTCCCAAATATACAATGAAGTAATTCATTTAATTATATTTTTCATTTAATGACATGTAGTGACATCTAAACCGTTATTTTAATACTAATTATGCTAAATAATATTATGGAAATTAAAGAAAATTTGTGCAATCATTGCCAAATCTACGAGTTCAAATGAAACAAATCTAGAACAATCAACATTTTTTGTTCACCAGCATACACATATTTCTATCAAAGTAATAAATTTTAAATTTTAAAAATAATAATAATTTACATTGTTTAATATTGGAGAATGTTAAAGACTATATATGAATTGGTCCAACTATAATTTTTCAACAAATTGAGGAAAAATTGTTTACTTTTTTAAAACTATTTAATGGTTTGCTGTCAAGAAAGATGTATATGTAGCATGATTGAATTTTCAAATGTATGATATCATAAAATAATAGTCATTTTCGTGGGTCAACTGAAGAATTCAACAATTAGAATGGTCAAAACTATAATATTTATCCATTTTACTTCCCTTTTAAATAAAACACTGACCATTTAAATCACAAATTTCAAGCACTACAAAATTGACCGAGTTTACTAAATTGTATACTTAATTGTACGTCATCTTTAAATAATAACGTGTAATTGATTGACATATATAATTTAATATATATATGTATTGACTGTAAAATTATATAATATATTGGTTGAATTGGAGTTTATTTTCAACAAGAACAAAAATATTGCGGAAAGCCTGAGAATGAAGAAAAAATTAAAATCAATCTCGTTGACTGGGAGAAACTTTAAAATTTTTTACAATTTAATACAAGAATTAAAGAAAATAAATAGCTGTTGAGAAAATTAAAATAGTGACAAATTCAAACAAAAAAAAAAAGCTGAATATATTCCCACTATATTTTTAATAAAATAACTGCATTTTAATTATATTAAAGGTCCATAACATTTAATTATTATCAATATTCAAAAATTTTGCATTACATTCTTATTCTCAAGTTTATACAAGTTTTGAATTTTCTACTACATAGGCGGCTAAATGAACCCCCAATCTTGACCTGTCAAAGCTCAACCCTTAGTTGAAGAACTGGCCAGCATGAGATCAAAGTCATTTATTTCAAAATTAATAAAATTTAAGAGTTCTTAATGTGATTAAATTGTGGTATATTTCCCTCTTCTATTAAAAGAGGGAATCCTTCGTTTACTGTTCATTCTGGAAGTATTTTATCTTCCCATTTTATCCCTCTTTTGATACTTTTGAAACTCATAAGAAACAAAACGTTGGGGGAAGAATCAAATTATAAAGATTTGGTCAAAAATGTAGGCGGTGAAAAGCGGTGACTGTATTTTTCTTATTCTTTGCATTTATATACAGAAAAAAATATATTTCTCTTCTTCATCGAGAATAGGCAACAAACGAAAAGTTTGAGTAAAAGGAAAGAAGAGAAAAGGGAGAAGGATATAATCAATATTCTTGTTGGAAAATTTGTGTTTGCTCCACCATCAGGTAAGATAAAGATAAAGAATCTGAATTAGTTGTGAGTTTGCTTACTGATTACTGATAATTCAATCTGAAGTGTAAATTTTTGGAGGTTACTGTGATTTTCTAAATGAAATATATAGGTTAACTTTGAGCATAATATGTGTATTGAATTAATTCAAGTTGGAAATATAAATAAAAAATTAAAAATTAAAGATAAATGATGGGATTAAACTTGAGTATGTGTTTTTGCTTTTGTTGTAGATAAAATTTGTCAACCAACAAGATCACTAGAAATGGCCAAAAATATAATGGTACCTCTAAAAAATTTTATTGGTTTAGTTTGGATGTTTACAGTTTTTATATTTAAGAAATTGCAATTTATGCTATGTTACATTCTAGAATTGGTTTGATTTAAAAAAAAATCTCTGAATAGTGCTCCGCACATTATGAAGCAACTACTCTGTGTTGTGCGGAGCATTTGCTACGATTGCTCCTCACATTATGGAGCAGTTATTTTATATATATATATAAACACGGCCATTAAAAATATTATTTTTTCCTATTTTCATTATCTTTGGTATTTCCTAAAAAAAAAAAATTATTTCCAACTAATAAACTTTTCAACATACACGAAAATTAGAATTCATTTTTAATTTAAGGATTCCCGTTGGGTGTGTTGTCCCCGAACTCCCATGAGGTTACGAATTCTTGATTATTCGTGATCATCGCACGTTAAATTTACGAATTTTTTAACCATTCACATGTAGAACTTTTTATTATTCTTCATTTACTTCGCATACTTCGATTTTTGATTTTTATTATGATTTTCTTTAGTTTCTCATAATTTTAATGATTCCTTATTCTGTCAATATTGAATTTGTTTTCAATTTTTTTTTTGTTGCAAAATATCCTTCTCAAAGTAAAAATATTAAAAGTTTCAACATCTATCCAA